TCTCAGTCTGTAAAACTAGTGTATGAAGACTTAAAGGAATGTCTTGCGGTTATAGTTAGAATAATCATGATCAATAATTCAGTAGTGTTCTAGTGAGAACGTAATGAATCAATTGAAAAAAGTTTTCCCATTAAATAAAGTACAATGATTTTTTTCTATATGACATTACCTTATCAAATTGCATATCCAATTGATACAAACCCCAAAGTAAACTACGATTAGCAATACCAAAACATTTATCAACAATCTATATATATATATATAAATAATTATTTCAAAAGAATAACAAATAATTTGAATGTAAATAAACCTCTGGTGACATGTCTTCATTATCAATAGCTGCTTTAAATAATAAATGTATTTTATCCCATAAATCCGTATTACCCAAATCATGACATCTACAAATGAACAACAAAAGAATAATTTATCATTTAATTATATTAATATTCATACTGATGAAATGCATCTAATTTTCTTAAATTAAGTAACAATGGATATAAATCATCTTCATCAGCTTCATCCTAATCAAAAACAAAAAAGAAAACATCATAAATAAATAACTTTCAAAAACAAAAAAGAAAATTCAATCATCATACCATTTCTTCAAAAATACCCATTGCAGCATTAAAATTTGCCAAAATTTTATCAATAATATTTCCACGATGTGCAATTGCTCGATTTGATAATGTAAAACTAACATCACAAACACATTCAAAACATTTTGAAACAGCATCAAAAATCTAATTTGAAAAAAAAGATAACTAAAAATTAAAGCAAACAAAAAAAAAAAATATTTCAACAAACTTCAGCTGTTGTATGTCGTTGTACAATATCACTCAATGCATTTAAATAAGCATCAAGATCACGTTCACGTCGTGTTGTTGTATAAACTTCATAATTAAAATGAAGTGGAATTTGTAATAAATTAAGTAATTTATCAGCATCAGCAATATACTAAAAAATTTCAAATAGTATGAAAAAAAAACAAAAGATTAATACAAAAACAAAAGCTATACTTTATTAAGTAATGGTGGTAAAGTACCAATAAAATGATCAGTTAAAACTTTTTTATCATCTTCTTTTTGTTTTTGTTCTTTCATTGTTAACTAGAAAAGAGAAAATGATTTGATTATAAGATTAGCTTTTGTTTTTTTTTAAATTTACTTTTCGATTAGGTTGACCACGACCAATTGGATATTCACCAGTAGCTGCTTCACGTACACAACAAACCATTATTTCAATTAAACAATTTTCATGTTGATCATCAAGTGCTAAACATCAATTAAATTATTTTTCGTTGCCTTTTTTTGTTTAATATTCTCTATAAAAAACTTACGATCTTCTTCTTGATCTGGTGCTTCAAGTAATATATCAGTCATACATTCCCAATCTTTCATCATTGGATGTTGATCCCACATAGAATCAACTAAGTATGTAGCATGTTCATGAAGCTAGAAATGAAATAGAAAAGTTTAAATTGATTTTATCATAAATCCGAATATTTATTATTTTATATTAAATAAAAATAAAAGTTCATTATTCAACTATTTGTATTTGTCATATCTAATCAAGCCTTTCGATTGGGAAACTTAAAATTTTCTACACAATACATTAGAATAAAACATTCATATAATGAAGTGAATGTGTCAGAAACAATAACAATATTTTGATAAGTTACTCTATGAAGTTCGCTTGATTTTGATGTCATATGATATACCATATTATGATAACTTTATTTTAATTGAATATCGACCACTTCAATTTTTGTTGTTACAACGAATCCTTTTTTTTCTGTAAACAACAGAGTTATCGAACATATCAACATGCAGAATAGACTAAGTATTAGTGAATTGAAAAAAGTAATCAATCTTCAAGAGAAAGGATATCAGAGATCATGGAAAATGTCTCGAACTTATTGATACTGTTAGAAAATCATGTCATATTTTTTGCTATTACATGTATTATACAGTGCAAAACCAGAACCGAGAATTTTTTTCTAACCGGACCCAAGATCAAAAACATGATTGATCACGTTTATTACTAGTTTGAACTTAGAAATGCATCAATAAAAATAAGGATGAATTTGGTTTGTTCTATATTCATTTAAATTCATTGATTAATTCAAACTAGACTTCTAATGTCCAATTGTAATGACTCTAATTGAGAATTTTAATTAAATATTTATGAATATCTACCTCGCTTTCAATAAAAAATTGAACAAGTAAATGTATAAAAGCTGTATTTTGACTACGTTTTTTCGATGAATTTAATGGTTGTTCAGCTTTATGAAATAATTTTTGATTAAGAAATTCACCAGCTGCTTGTGCAACTTGTCGATGTGAATGATAAACAAGTTCATAAATATTTTCACAATCTTTATCTTCAAGTATACGTTCATTAAATCTAATAAAACAATTAACAATTTGAAAAATAATCATAAATCTTTTATCTATTTACTTTAATATAGCAGTTAAAAGTTTAATAGCTTGTACAGCTACTTCATATTCACAATCAACGGTCATTTGTACAATACGATCCTATTATAAGAAAACATGAAATTTAATTTTTATATATTCTTTGTTTAATGAAGCTTTTTACTTTAAATCGATTTGTAAATAATTCAAGTTTACCAACAAGATCAGTTGTTTGAAATAATGGTATCAATGCAAGTAAACAACGTAAACGACAATCACCAACCTAAAATTCGGTAGTTTTTAGAGAAAATAAAAGAATTGAATTTTATTATTTACTTTATCATATAATGTCCATCCAATATATTTAAGATAAATATCATCAAGAAAAACCATCGGATAACTTTTCATCCATTCACCAAGTTCACTCATACATAAACATCGAATATCAGGTACAATATCTCTAGAATAATATAAAGATATATAGGTATAGATAGATAGATGAAAACTGAATCATATGCAATTCATACCGATATCGATGAATAAAAACGCCTTTAAATATAAAATTCATGAAACTTTTTATTTCATTTTCATTTCCTTCAAGCTAAAATCAAACAATAATCGAATTATTGAAATTTGATTAATTATTAGTTCAAACCTCTTTTCTTTTAGCTGTTAATGTATCAAGTCGATCAGCAGCACGTCGTGCACTTGATTTTTGTCTTTCAGCTTCATATTGTCGTTGACATTGGTCTTTTTGTATACTTATTGTTAATGCAATATCAACAAGAGCCGTCATAACTTTTAAAACTACAAAAATAAAAAAAAATTTTATTATTTAAATTAAAAAAAAAATTTCTTCTTACCAGCTAATGTACCAGTATGACGAAAAGCACGAACAGGTGAATCAGATAAAGCAGTTAATAATGTAACAAGATTATCAATCATATATTGATCATAAATAATTGAATAGGATGCTTGTTTAATTAATAATACAACAAATTCACTGAATGACGAACGAAATTTTTTATATTGTAAACCGGACATTATGATTGGATATTCTGATGTATCCTAAAAAGAGAGATTTTTTTATCTATTATGTATGAAAAAGCAATATTAAGTCTGTTATAGAATATCAAATGAACTGCTCATGAAAACAAATCATACAAACACTCGACCCTTGTGTATAGTAATTAGATATTTTTCTCAATAAGGAAGTGTGTTACAGAACTGAAGATTAGAGTCCTTTGTATTGGTTCCAGAACCGATTAGATTTAAAAATCTTTCATTCATTGCGTTCGGGTCTGCAAATTTTGAACTCGACGTGCTTTAGTTATTTGAGAAATATATAGGATGCACTAATCACCCAATACAGAAAATCGCAAGAAAGTATTTCGTATCTTCAGAACAACTATTCACTAGCAATTAGAATTATTTCATTGAGAATGTCAAAGTATGACTCAGGAGACTATAATGTAGCGTCTACAATGATATCGAAAACAATTATACATTTTTGATTAATCTAGCTATTCATATCATCAAATCGATTGATCAATATACTTTCAACTAGTAAATTCAAATATATTTCAAAATTTATTATATTTTCTTATACTGTAATTGTAATGAATGAAAAATACTTTACCTCATCAAAATGTTCGGTCATAGCCCGTAACATATCGACATGTTCCATTTTTAAATACATTGTTTGTGTTAATTTTCCTTTACAACCACTACTATCCAAAAAGAATTGCATTAATTCAATTAATGCTTCATCACGATTAGCTTGATATGAATCAATCCATTGATCAACTAATACTTGTATATTTGTTTTTCCAGCTAATAAATGATGAAAATATCCTTTTTCTTCTGATTGTTGACCACCAGCATATGTTGTATTATTTCCTGTTGACATTGTTACCGAACTAGTTTCCATTGAATCTTCATCAGCTTGATTAACCGTTGGACTTGTTTTTCGTCCTGTACGTGATGGTCGTCCACGTCCACGTGCTGGTGTTGTCGTTGTTGTGGTTGTTGTTGTTGTTGGACGTCCTCGTGATCCAGCTTTAGGTTGAAATTCTTCTCCTTCATCATCATCATCATCATTTGGCATTGCCGACATAACTGAAGCTGGTGGTTCAACAAAATCATCACCAAGTGAACGTTGAACATGTTGTCGCATTGAACGTGTATTTCCATTAACTGTCATTTTTCTTTTTATATCTGAAATTAAAATATGGGGATGAAATTTGTTTATTTGTACTAAACATGCACAAAACAGTGGTGAATAGTAAAAATGAAATAGGTTCTCTAGAAAATACAAATACAATAAGCAGGTATAAATAAAAAGAGAGAAATATCACACGAAAATCAAACGGAAGGAAAAAATCTGGGTACATAAAAAGAAAAAAAGTAAAGAATGTCTAACGAAAGGAGGAAAAAAAAAGAATGTGATATTTTGCATAGAGGCCTAAGTTAATATAGACATTGCGGAAAAGAAACTTATTATATAATTTATTCAAAGATAATTGCATGATTTTTTTTTTCTCTTTTCTTTTTGCATATAATTGTATACAAGGCATTTTGATATTTTCAATCACTCTGATCGGAATGTGAATTATTTTCTGTTTCACTTTGAGACATTGATTGTTCTTTCATATCAATTTCAACAGGTGCAAATTCTTTTGCTTCTTCTTCTTTAAATGCATATTCGATATCAAGTGTATAAGTAAAATGACTTTTTGGACGTATCCATTTTTCTGGTGTTTCTTCAGCTTCTGGTACAGCAACAGAACGAATCTAGAAAAATCACACCAAACATACGATCAAAAAAAAAAGAACATTCATAAAAATGATTTTTCTTTTAATTTACTTGACAATGTGAAATAAATGCTTGTGCCTTGGTATATTCAACCTCAGCTGTCGGTTCAAATTTTTCTGGCATTGGATCATATGATGGTACTGATAATTTACATTCAAATATATGTGTTTTATAAGCACCTTGATCTCGTTTTGGTAATTGATCAATACGCCAAACAATTGAACGAAATGCTTGTTCATATTTTGCTACACCAACTGAAGCTGCCATTAATGCCACAAGTGGATCACCACGATGAAGCATAAAACGATCAAGACCCTACGGAAATTATATTCATTTTAAAAGAAAATAATAATAGAAAAAAACGGATGTTTTATTTTCGCTCTTATCGAAGAAAAGGAAACAAGTCATTAACCTTGAACACATGATTATATTTCAAATAAACATCTATATTATAATACAGAGATGGACAAAGTCGCACCGCGCCTCCCCGCGCCGTTGCTCACGCCTACGCTACACTAGTCTGAGCTTCGATGAGCGCATGCTTAGAGCATCCCGGTATTCGATGGAGCTTGTGAAACTGATTGGTAGAGCAAAGAGAAAGAGAGATGTGCGTAGCGCCTAGGCGCGAGCAGTGGCGCGGTGCGATTTTGCCCATCTCTGTTATAATAGACAAACTTTCTTCAGGAACTTTCATATGATTGGTCACAAAACGAAACAAAGTATACATACATATATATACATATATATATATATATGTAACGTCGTATACGTCCATACAATATGCATATACGTTGTATATGTATATGTCCATTCAATGTATATATACGTCGGATGTGTCTATCGATTATGCATATATAAATGTCAGTGGAATTTTATTTCCTTTCATTTTCGCGCACACGCAGCAGCAACACAGTTTCATAACTGCTTTTTGTATTAAATTTTCTGAGTAAAATTAATTTTCTACAAGTGAACTTAATAGATAATCGTAGAGAAAGCTGAATATTGGAAGAACTCTTTTATCATTAATTGATTTAAAAGAGATTAGTTAAGTTAGCGATTTAACAATCAATTAAAGATTAATTATTTATATAATTATATATTTATAAAAAAAAAGGATCTATATTATATTTTACAAGTGTTTTTCAGTTCTTCAGGAACTTTTTCTGATTGGTCACAGAACGAAAAACAAAGTTCATATATATATACGTCGTATCTGCCCATTCATTATGTATATATATACGTCTGTTATCTATATTATATTTTACATTCAGGAACTTTTTCTTATTACATTAAATCAATTTTTCTCATATTATATTAAATCTTTCCTATGATATTAAATTTTTTCCTATAATGTTACAGTCCAACCGAGGAGGAAAAGGCGAGACTCCGATACTCCCGAAGTACAGCAGAGTACAGTAAGAATACAGGGGAGTACAGTGGAACTACAGTAAGAGTATAGGGAAGGTACAGAAGAGTACAGTGAGAGTACGCACTCCAAGAGTCCCGCTTTTTCTCGCTTGAATGCAACCTTTCACAGGGGCCTCTAGTTTCGCAAATTAAATTTTAGAAGCTGTCAAAAACAAACTTATGACAAAAATACCAGTACATCGAACAGCTAGTTTTGTTTATTATCTACTAAAAAAAAGGAACTCGATCAATCCACATCTTTCCCTAAGGATACTATATATCAATTAGGGAAAACCCTAAGGAGAAAAAAGCGAGTCTTCAATACGTCGAAGTGCAAGTGAAGTACAGCGGAGTACGAATGAAGTAGGATACTTCACAGTATTGAAGTCTTGCTGTCTCTCCTCGCCTTGAAAAAATTGTACTGATCATCAGTCTACTTTTTTAATCGGTCGTTTTATTTCTGTCACCATATTGATGATTTCAATAGTGTTTGACAATAGTGAGAACTAATCTTTACTTTAGAATGAAAGATACATAGGTGTACCTTCGAATATCAGTGACCTGCGGTTTCAACAATCGAAAGAAAACTCTGGACATTCTTTTTTTTATATACTATATCAGACAGAGTTATTTGAAAATTCATCATCTTTGCAAAACATTGAAAAAAGTATTCCATGTCGATAGATTTCTGATGTTTAATCTGTGCTTAGATAGAGTAACGTTGAATCTATAGTTCTAAGTGTAATTTAGGCAATTATTTTCTCATATCACAATACTCAGCAAACAAAATCAGGTATCAATTCGGTCAAACTACATAGAATTTTGTTGATTCTTAGCTAATTTTCCACACAAAAAAACTTGTTTTCATCCTCTTTTTTCGAAATATTTTGCGAAGATGTTCATAATTTTCCTCTTAGAATTCCTGACAACCATAAGTCACTAGCTATTTCGACGTGAACATTAATGAAGATAATATTGAAGTGTCTTAATTTTAATTCAAATCCCGTTATTTATAATTTCATCCTTGATTCAAAAATCAAGTTTTGTCATTTCATCGAAAAAAAAACCTTCAGCGATTGATAAACAAATTCATACATTTCGATCTCTTATAAAACATTATTGTCGCATAACCATGAACTGTTTGACCCCTTACATGATTAGAAAATATTCATATGCATTACGATTTATTTTCAGTTGGAAAGAAAATAGAGATTAAGAAATTCATCAATCTCTGCATCTGCTCACATATCATGACGTACTGAAATAGTACACATTGACAGTATGTCTTAATGTCATTTTATAGAAACGCCAGCATTCTTCCGTTAGAAAATCTTTCTTATAAGACTTAATCTCCCACTGATGTTTTCGGTTGTTAAAATTATAATATATAGCTTAGAACTGTTCTCTTTGAAATACCTACCTTATATTAGAGTTGTTATTTAGTGCTTTTGTTAAATCCATATCTCGAAATGCCTAGCAGAAAAACTCTCGCTTCGCTTATTATTCGTATGTGAAATTCTTCTAGTGGTGATAATTGTTGCTCATTCTAAAGGTGCTTAGACCATAGAACTCTAACACTAGCAGATTCTAATTACTTAATTAGAGGAGAAAAGTTCTGATACAAAGGAAAGTTTGTTTTTCATTTTTCTTCAAATAAATTTTTAAAGACATACCGTTCGATATGACTACTGTTTCTAAACCATGTATTTTTCGAGGTGCGCTCAGTGTGTTGATTTTATTATTTAGCTGTATGGAACTTATTCTGACTGAGAAGACAGTATTAATGTTTGCTTGGGAAATCCAGATATATGCTAGAAGGATGCAGTCTGATAAATTGTGCTCTAACCATTGAGATCTATCTATTGTAAAAATTTGAAATATTTCTAATTAACTTTCCGTCAGAAATTCAGAAAAAGAAGGAATGTCTTGAAATTTCGTAATTTCCGCCGAGATTGATACATTTTAGAAAGCTAAACATGCTCATTCTTTTTCCTAGACATTCAATCTAACAAGATATCAAATTCATTTCTATCTTTCCTAAAAAAACAAGCATATTTGATTTATTTCCTTTCTATAATGTTTTGCATATTTATTAGTTATTATTGATCAAATTTCATAGTTACTTAAATAAGGAAATATTTTATTCCCTAGTGAATCACATGTGTATAATTCTATTTTCTTTCTTCTATGTCAATAAATTCAACCTGTTTTTAAACACGCAATGTAAATCTATATATTGATTACCTTTATTTTTCCTGCTTTACGACGAACACTATGTATAGCTCCATAACGAAAACGTTTTTCAACTCGAAACATATAAACCCATGGATCAGGTACTGGAAAACGTATTTGAATGTTTTCACATGGACATTGATCATCACTATTATCATCTCGTATATTAGCTGTTTTATCATTTGTTGCCATAGCTGATGCTTTTGATAATAAACTTATATTAAATGCATTTGATACAATAACTTCAATTCGAATATTTACTTGACGTTCAATAACCGACATAAAACAATAAACCTAAATAAAATAAAATAAAATCAATTTTCATTTTCTCTATTGAAACCAAAACCCAAAAAAAAAATAAAATAAAATAGTTTTTTTTTCCTTTACCTGTAGTGGTAATTCAATATTTTGTTTAGGTCTTGTACGAAAACGCATAATTTCTATTTTTTGACTATCTGGCGGTACTAATTTAAGTAGATGTGTATTTTCATATTCATTAGCATCAATAATTGATGCTAATTCAACTTGTTCTGGTTTAATCCAATATTCTTGTAATGTTTTATTAATAATTATTTCATTACGTTTATTAACTTCTTTACCATGACGAAACCAATCATTCATACCTATTTCAACTGTTGGTGTATAACCATTTAAAAAAGCTAAGATAAATAAACGTGTACGAGATTTATGTTTACATATATGACGATATTTATCAATATGTGCATAGTATTCATCTAAGATTTTAACAGTTACTTCTTCTTTTAGATGTTTTTGTAAACGACTACGTGTAACAGGCATTGACCAAAATAAATCATCTAATATAATAGAAAATTGTTTTAAGTATGTATAATTTAATTGACCAAATTTAACAATTTCTTGTTGAACACAATTTGCATGATCAAGTAAAACTTGTTGTGCTTTATTTGGTCGAGTAAATTTTCTTAATAATTTTTCTGGTAAAGTTACAAGACGATCAATACGAACTTGAGGAATTTCTCTATAATTAGCTTCAAATATTTTAAATGTATGAATTTTTGTATATTGATCATATTGTTGAAGATTAAATTTTGTACATTGATACCATGTTTGTAATTCAATTTCAGCAAATGATTGTTCAATTGTTTGAGGTAAGTAAAAACGTAATTTTTTTTCATCAAAAAATATTCTTACATAACATTCTTGCCAATTACCTGAAATAAATATGCTCTTCATTATAAAACGCCATATATAAAATTTCTTACGTGTTTCACTAAATCTTTGAAAAGTACTCTTATATAAATCTTTTTGTCTTAATGGTACACGAATTTGTAATAACCATCCATTAAGTTGTTGTAATTGTAATTCATTAATATCATTATGATATGCTTCTAATGGTGCACTATCATCAAAATCTGGTTCATGTAAATAATAATCTACTGGTATTGAGTGTGCTTTCTCTTGCTAAAATAAGAAAAATTAAATAGAAAAGAGAAAACTAATATTTATTAAATAACACCAACCTTGAATACTATTGTAACACAGACAAGACAACAACATATATACATATAGAAACATCAAGCATACCCTAACTTCTTCTTGATTAATTTTTGTATCATTTTCTTGATTAATTTTTGTATTGTCTCCTGCTTCTTCTTCTTCCCAATCAGTAATAAGATTTTTACCAGGTTGTTCATTTGTTTTCTTTTTAAGAGATTTTGAACGAAATACAGCTAATGGATCATGTTCATCTTCATTGTCTGTTGTTGATGATGATGAACTAGCATCATCACTAGCTTCTTTATATTTTTTTAATGTTGATGGTGATGGTGGTGGTGGTAATAATGGCACAGGAGTATTTGAATCATGAATAGATGTTGTATGTTTTTTTTCTCCAATTTTAAAAACCATTTTTGAATTATCAGAATCATCAGAATCATTATCATTTTCTTTTTGCTTATCAAAATATCCTTGTGGAACAACATTGCTATCATTATGATCACATGTTGGTTCATGAACACATATTGATGGAACTTCTTCATTTGATGGACGTCGTATCATTTGTTTAGGACTAACAATAGGTGGAGATCCAAATGATTCTTGTGATGCTTCCTGAAGTGTTGTTAATGTTGGTATTGATTGTTTATAAATACTTCCTAAAAGATCTTCAGTACTTTTTAACATATTAATATCCATTTTTTTTGATGATCCACTTAATTTTGGATCAACACTACACATTAAATCATCAGATTGTGTTAACCAATCAAGAAATTGATCATCATATGGCGTTGTTGATGTTGTACCTGTCATTATTGTTAATGCTGTTGCTTGAGCACGTAATGTACTTGGCGATGTTGGTGGAACATTTATTGGTAATGAATGATATGATGATGCTGTTGGAATATTTGTTTTAGCCATTAATGATGATGGTGAAGAGTTTTTAGTTTGACTTATTTTCGGTAAATCAGTTAAACTATCACTTTTTAAAATTTTAACTGATGGTGATGGCTTTGTTTTTTGATTAAGACCAAGAAGATCATATGATGATTGAACTTGATCAGAATGTGCTAATGAATCATTTGAATTTATCGTTGGTAATGTACTTGGATCAACATTAATATCAAATAAAAGATCAATTTGTGTTGCTTGAATAGGTACTGTTGATTCTTCATTAGAAATAGTTGGAATTAAAAATGGATTCATAAGATTAATACTTTTTGAGTGTGTGATATTATGATTAATAGATAAATTTGTTGTTTTATCTTGTAGATCTTCTAATGGATCAAATTTTGTTGATTGATCTAAATTTGGTTTATTGGTAGAATTTTGATAGGCATTCCAATTAGATGACGATAATGCATCTTTTCCACTATGAGATAGATTCATTTGTTCATTTGTGGTTTCGATTGTAAATGGACTATCATCAAATTTTTGTGAAGATGCAGATAATTTCATATCACTTGATATACCAAATGGATCGACTGTTGATGATAATGATGAACCGAATGGATTTTTTGTACCATTCAATATTTTCGTATCATTATCATCTGAACCAAATACATCAGCAAATGTACTGAACATTTTAAAAGTTTCGTTGTTTTTTATTAATTAACAATTCATCATGACTAATTCTAAAAAAAAATGTCAAACGTGTCATTATAATAAAACGGAAAAGAAGTAGTTTAAGTTTCTGATTGGAACGAGAGAAATAACGTCAAATGATGATGCGAACGACGTCAACGCCTCCACATAATTTTCTTTCTTTCTGACTGACTTCTGTGTCTTCTTTTTTTTTCTCTATTCTTCGTCTTTTCATTCGGTTCTTTCAGACTACATCGCTTAAGTAGACAATAATAACAGAAAGAAAGAAATACGAACACAAAGCTAAAAACATGTTTTTGCATTCGTTTAGCAAACAGAGAAAAGAAGACAAACAAAGACGTTTTATATGATTGGTTAAAAACAGAATATTTTATTAAAATAAAAAACATAATTAAAAAGAATTTATTTTTATTTTAAAGTTTAATTTAAACTAACTGAATAACAGTTTTTGGATAGAAAACTTCGATGACGGATAGAGGTCGCTTGTTCATGACTGCAAGTTTTGTTCAGAAGCGTTATAAATACAATAGAAGTAATTTCGCGTAGAAGTTTTTGCAAGTTGAGCTTCTGAATATAACAACCTTGAACTGGCAATGGAGGGTGACTAATATCATAAGTGAGGGAGACCACTTCAACACGGCAGACTGTCTGTCCTGTGTATTTTTACTTTTATATCAAATTTTCATCCAACATATCGAATATATTGATAGAAAAATCAATGCAGTTGAATTATTAATCAAGGATGGGACTCGAATATGATGAATAAGATACATATTTCTTAATAAAATAGAGGATAATTATAAAAAATAAAATCTATCACCTTTCTGAAAAGACCATCCACACGAATTTCAACGTTTATAATTACTTGCCTGTTGTCTTTTCTGAATCTCAGGTAATTTCACCATTGTTAAATAATCTTTTTTCTGATGTCAACGTAGTAGTTATAGAGCGTCGTTTTTGTTCTACTCTTGATTGTAATATTACAAGTGACATTTTTATCTATCAGATTCATTCAGAATGTTCTTGAACATCAACCAGCTTTTTTTTCTCAATGTTATTGTCTTTTCATTCTCTTATTTTTTTATATATTACTACTTCACAATTCATAGATGTCTAGTCTACAGGGAAATCTTCCATTGTAAACGTCTCCATAAAATGAACATCTTGTTGTAGTAAACACTCTAAATTCCCATCGATCGCCTCTTAGTGAATACCACTTAACAGTGACTTGTGAACGTTTCTTTTGATTTGCACCAACTAGGAGAACCTTTCTAAAGTGAACATTTTTTTTTTTCTTTTAGTCTTATTTTTACATGTCATCATGAACACATAAGAAAGAAACATCTTTGTATAGTGAATACTTAAATGGTGTCATGAATATTTATATTAGAGACTTTTTATTGTAATCATCGAATTTGATTCCAGCGACTTGTTGGACCTTCTATAAAGATTAATAGTTTATTCTAATCTATTCCTATCATCATATTGGCATTTTAAAAAAGGCAGGTCTGTGAAAATTCGGCGAGATTAGATCTTTTCTAGGTATAATAAGTCCTAAATGCAAAGGTAGCATTCAAAGATTCTTAAGAAATAAAAGTCAATGACAATCAGAAGAAAGAGCTTTGTGATAAATGATGTCATTGTATGACATTTTAAAATGAATGATTAGTAAGAACAAATCATTTATAGTAGAATTGCAAGCATGTCTATCTGTCATGATCTATTTCTTTCTTTACACACTTAAATTACATTGATATTGGGACGGAATCAGAATAATGTCATTATAAGAAGTCATGGAAATCGTACATACCGAAACGACATGACAAAACGAAATATTTATTGATTATACACAGTATGTATCTATTGAGAATAAACAAAAAGAAAAATAAAACATTCATGTTCAGCAAAAGTTTATCTTATTGAATAAGAAAGTTTTAAATGGATTAGATGTAGCTACTATTCGAAAAGAATATATATCAAGTTTTGTGACATCATGACAATATAAATTTGGATTAGGGAACAATGAGTATTTGGTCAACAATTCATATAAGATAGTGATAATAATCAAATTGAAAATTTAGGTGAACAGATAGATAAACTAAATAAATAAATGGATAATGGATATTTCTGTGACAATTCTATTATTAGTTGTGATGGTATTCGGTGAAAATGATGAAAAAATCAATTATTATCTTCCAGCAACAAAGAAACTGCACTATATATTTGCATGCGTATATATTCTACTGAAAAATGAAGTGTTTTATTGAAATTTCGGAAAAAAATATGGCGAATAAACGTTTTGCTTGATCTCTTTGAATCGTCGGTTACTACAGTTACGTTCACTCTAGAATCTTCAAATCATGTTGCAATAGGTATTTGAATATTTCATACTATCTTCCTACAAAAAAAGTCATTTAGTGAATTAGAGACTGATACTAATGTAACGAGAACTGTTTATTGGCATAACACAGTTCTCTCTATTTTCTAGATTTTTGGCTCTTGTTCACATAATGAGAATATTATTATTGTAGAAATTTAAAATGCATACAAAGAAAACTTTATGTAGACTAACTAGTCACTGTCATAAATAAAAAAATTCATAATCTATCTGAAAACAACTAGATTTTGGATTGATGAGCTATATACATTTGTAGCCATGAATTGATTAAATGTAAATATTGGTTTTTATTGAATGAATGTATAAAGATATTTGGAACAATGGTAACAATACAAAATAGTCGTCCCCGAGTTGCAATGGTGTACAAATATGTATAGATGCAATTCTTCATTCATCTTCAAACCATATTCGATTACGATTGAATAATGTTCTCTAAATATAAAATAAATTCTTTTACGATACTTATCAAGAGAATATAAACCTGTAATTTTTGTAATTTTTCTTCCAGTAATTTCATTCGTATATCTTTACGTTCATTTTGCTCTTGTAATTCTGCAATTTTTTGTCGATAAGATTGTTCAATTGAAAGCTAAAACAAAAATAAAAATATCAGAAAACACTGGATTATTAATATCTTCAAACCATTTTATCATGAATCAATGATTCAATATCACTCATCAACTCATTTGAATATGTATATAATGATTGAGCTAAAATATTTTTTGATAATGAATTTCCATGAATTAGAGGTTTATCTTGGTTATCACAGACAAAATTTTGTGAATTAGGAATTGAAAGTTTTGATTTTAATCTAAATTAAAATTATTATTACAAATTTCAAGTCAATTTGTTTTTACCCTGCATGATCTACTGATAATATTCTTCGATGATTACAGCATAATGTTATTTGTTCAGTTTGATCTTCATTTTCTAGATTATTATTAACTGAACCTTTTTCATTTATTTCTTGTATAGGTGACATATTTTGAGGTGCTGGTACGACTGTTATTGAATTATTTGTTAAACATGATGCAATTGATGTTAAAGTATCTAATGCACCTTTCATTTTTTCTGATGCTTCATTTTTAGCTTTTTCAAAACCAAGACGATTTTGAGCATATTCATATAATGTACGTTCAGCTTCGGGATAATCTCGGCAACCTTCCAAAACATCTTCTTTTGATAGAGAAAATAATTCTGAATAACCAACGCTTCGTACATCAGCTGTACGTCGGTTAGCACCATCAATATTTAAAATTCCAATTTCGCCAAAAAAATCACCTGCACCCAAACGTGTTAGAACATCATTTTTTTCACTTTAAATAATTTTTGATTTGAAAAAGATTTGTTAATCTTATATTAGACACTTACTTAACTACTTCAAGAACACCATCTGCTATAATGAACATTTCACGTGCTACTTCACCTTTACGACATATAATATCACCTGGGGTGAATATATATGCACGCATTTTTAAAACAAGATCATGTAAAAATTCAGGTTGACATTCTTGAAATATAGTCACCTTTTGAAAATAAAAAGAAACAATATTAGTTAAGATCCTAAGATATTCGACAATAATTCTTCAAAATTTTCTGTTTACGTTGACTCGAAATATAAGTATATATTTGCATAAGCGGCGAAAATTTTTGAATCTAAGAGAATCTATTGTAAGCATGTTTTTTTGTTTTGAAGTTTATAGGAGGTAGAAGTTTTTTTTTCTGAAAAATGTTACTGATAAAAAGAAAGATGTTAAAAATCTACTGTGACATAGAAGAAATCATCTCTTTTATTATTTTGTTCATCTTGAAGAGTAGAATCAAGTCGAAAAAGCAACAAAGTTTTCGAAATTTGAGATTTCTATGTTGTTCTAACTTATGGTGCATGATTGAATGTATTAAAGAGTTTGAAAATGTGTATATTTTTTATCGGATTTATTCTTCTCTTCAACATAAACAAAATAAAAGAGATGATTTCTTACGTAGCATAGTAGCTTTTAACAGCTTCGTTTTGATCAATAGCATTTTCTCAGCGAAAAATCTCTACCTTCTATAATCTTCCAAATAAAAAAAATATGTACAGGAGTGTCTGAAAAACTTTTTCTGAGAACAGTATGTTTTATTCAGCATTGATGATGTATGCTGACATCTATTCTTCATTATTAGTAATGTACTAGAAGTACTGAACTTAGAGTCACAATGTGTAAACACAATTTCCAACGAAATATCTGATAAAGCACTCTTTTATATATATGTCACAGAAATTTTACCTTGTTATTCATCAGAAATGAACTGCACATCCGATATCTCAAACTTAATTAAGTTATTGAGACAAAAGTGATCTATTGATAGAAAAAAACACTTAAAAATCATTTAGAGGAACACGAAATACTTGGAGCTTTCTATACGTGTAATATACTTTTACTCACAAATATTAGATGATTACACGCGAGATAAACAACTTTATGATAAATATCTATCTATAGGAAACATTTGATCGTATTTATTCGCTTCAATCTTTCATATTTTCCTATATTATACGAATACTCCATATGAGTAATCAGACTGATGTTAATAAAAG